TCGATAAATTAAGTGCATATTCACCACTCCAATGCATCCAGAATGCTGAAATAGCTTCGGAAGCTTACAAATTTTACAAGCTGAAATAGCGTGTAAATTTTGTAAGTTTCTTAATCGATCACGAGAGTTCAGTTTTACTTGCATTATGCTAGGTTCCGGAAGAACACTCAAAGCAGCGATAGTTAAAAACTATCCTGATGCCTTAGCTTCCAAGTCGTTAGAATCACTTGACATTGTGAGAAATTGCTTAGAATTAAAATAAGATTCATTAGCGTTTAAAATTTTCGAATGCTGAAGTGTTCCTAATCATATTTTGAATTGATATTGCATTAATTCTATCCAAAAAGTTCTCTAAAAAGAGGTGATGAGGGAGGTAAGATATCATTTAATATTTTCAGATGAAATAAATCATTTAAGGTGCTCATCGCGTTGAACACCAGATAAAGCTGTCCTCAATTCTTCGGCCTCTATAAAGTTAGTTCTGCAGTCACTACTGTTTCACACCGTTAGTCTCTATATGCTTTTTCAGCTCTTGTCAAAAATACAATTTAAATTGCTTGCAATAGTACTGTAATGGTAAGTATAATAAAACTTTTTATAACGGAAATAAAATACAACACACAACTTCAGACATTGCATAAAAATCAAAAATTTTATTAATCAATTTTCGGAAAGTAGGACTATCAGATGTCTATTATATTTGACTACTTATAAATAAACTATTGATAATTTTAAAAAATAAGTTTCGAAATTAAAAAAAATCTTTTACTGTAAATTACAACACTGATATCAAGTTAAGAAGTGTCATACACTTTCAAAACGATAGCTATCAGGCTCAAATTTTAACAGATCTCTAAAAAATAAAAACTCATTAAAATAATCGCTTAGTAAAACTAGTCTTAAAATAATTGAAAACAGCTAACATATATGGTATTTCTCCCGCCTTCTTAGCGTTTCTTTGTGGTGTAGTTGTCTGTACTCTGGGTGAGCATTCCAGAGGTCTGCGGTTCGATTCCCGGCGAAGGCGTTGCATATTTTTCCCCTTGCCTGCTTCCAAAAACACCTAATGTCTCTAAAGACTGATCTATTAAATGTAGAAGATTTCAAAGAAATGTAATTGTGCAAATTGTATGGCTCCTCTGATAGTTTTACCAGAATTTAAATTAAAAGAAAAATCAAAAGTCGCTACGAATAACCATTAAATATATTTTATTACATGAGAATCTCATAGTTCTTTAATTAATAAATTTAACTCTATCCTAGTTTGACCAATTATTTTACATTATACTATAGAGCAATCAGTTTTACTTAGAAACAGGAAACCTGAAAAATCAGCGATGCTGTCTTCAGGATTCTAATTCCGGTCGTTTCGATTATTAGCCGGACGTGCTTCCAACTGTGCTATTAAAGTGTGTGGTAAGAAGAGAGAAAATTTTCTTTATCGAATATTTTCAAATACCTGAAGAATTAAAAACTGATCACCCGAAATTTGAATATGTGGAAAATCCGAACAATTTTGTAATTAACACGAGAGTAAAATAAAATGATAATACGATTATTCTGATTACTTTTATTAGTAGTATATATTTCTATTGATAAAAAGAATTTTTTAAACCTTTATTAATAACATAAGAGGAAACAAGTAAGAGTTCAAAAGCAATTCGGTCAACAGCAGTAGTTCCTCATTATTCGACGTTTTGAATAAGAGACGATCGTGGTGAACGAATCGTAAAGGTACGGGAAATGAAAAAGTAAAAACAACTTGCGCATTTGATTATGAGCAATATCTATATTTATTACCTTTTAGCTATCGTCTTCTTAGCAACCAAGATCATTACTCTTTTTTTAAAAATTAGTTTCATTCTCTTGATATTATTAGTGCCAATTTTGAAACTCTTGCTTTCTTTATTTTCTGGAAGGTTTCATTGGAATATTGTCAATTAACAAACGGGTAACTATTCTTTTGTTTGAAACACAAAAGGCTGGTCAGGCCTTCAGGAATTACAATTAAACCACCACATTTCCTCAAAACTTCATTTTTGACTCATTAAGACAAATAGCCACAAAATGTACTCAATATGCTACTTAGATTATCTGAGTTCTAAAATGTGTTTGCCATACACTGTTTAATAGTCTGGCTCCCGCCCGTTCAGTGGACATTTTAAAAGTACACTTCCAGATTTTATACCAATAACTGTGTTAAAAGTATTTTAGAAGAAATCTTGTCTTTTACTGTATAAAGTTTCGTCTTCTTTGGCGGCATCAAAATTACGAAACTTCTTAGACCTTAGGTGAACTATCACTACGCCTGGTAAAGCACCATAGAGGCTAAAATGAGTGTAAATTACTCTTTTGTTTAACTCAAATAAAATTTTAACAGAAGGCACCATTCGTGTGCTTACAAAATAGCTAGCATTTATAGCTTAAATCGAAGGTATTGAATTTGGCTTAACCAAGTAAAAGCAAGTTCGCCGAACGGCTTCACAAATAGAGAAACGCGCAACATGACTCTGACCTAAATTCCAATGACAAGCCTAATGGGGAAAATAACGTAAAGTCGCAAAATACAGTTCTCAATAGAATCAAATTACAACGTTGCCTCCAGTAGGCGGAACACGCTCTGATTCTACTCTCTAAAACTTTCCATTAAATACTGTCTCCTTTAAACTTCATTTGAATTCATGCGAGCTTTACATTCTAGCAGGAAAATGGGTAACGAGAAGTACAGAAAAGCACATTAATATAAAATAACTAGTTAGTGAACTAATCGAAAACTTACAACTAATTAAAAATGAAGACAATGAGAAAACTCTCTAAAAGTGTTATCTTAAGGTAACGACAGTATAATTTAAATTTTTTTGAAGAGCAAACACGCTATTTAAACATATGTAAAATATTCATTTTTGCATTACAAGCACAGGATAGCAATGTTTCTAAAGTGATTTTGATGCTTAAGCATTTAAAACATTTTGGTATAATAAATAATGTTGGGAGTTGAATCATTTTTAGAATGATTACTGAGTAAAGAAATAGAAGAAAAACTTTAATACGATTGAAAAGAATTTTTTAGCAAAATTCATCATTTTGAAATAGTCTCTTGAAGTGGCAGATTCATAAAAATTTTTATCGAAAGAAAGGAGGTAAACTGCAAGGTCCTTGCCGAGATTCGATCTTCTTATCTGCTGAGCGCTAGCCGCACGCGTGTTCCAACTACACTACGAAGGCTCACGACAAGAAAGAAGAAAATTCCTTACATAGTTAAATAGCATTACTTTCTGTATTAAGAATAGTGCAAGAGCACAAACTACCGAATCGTCTTAAGAACTTATGGAAATTGTGAGTATGTCTTATAAAGTACCACAGAGGCTGGAAAAGAGTGTAAAGGGCACTTTTATTTAACTGAAATAGAGGTTAACAAAAGGCACCAATCGTGCTTTCAAAAATAGCCAACATTTATGGCTTAAATCAAAGATAATGAATTAGATTTAACTAAGTAAAAGTAAGTTGGCCTAATGGCTATACAATTAGAGTAACGCATAAGTTGGCTCTGACCTAATGTAGGCGTGACAAGCCTAATGGCAAGAATAACGCATTGCTGCAGAATGCAGCTCTCAAGAGAATACAATTAGTAACGTGGCCTTCAATAGGTAGAACACGCTCTGATTCTACGTTCTGAAATCTTTCTCTCTACTTCATTTGAATGTCACTCGAGCTAGAAATTTACATTCTAGCATCAGAGTGCTAAATGAGACTTTACAGACACCATTAAAAAGAAAATTTCGGTCATGATTAAATAATGATAATATAAATAAATTGATTTATGAAATAAGGAAAAGAAAAAGCTCCTTATGATTCACACCAATGGGGGCATTTACTCGTATTCATCTGTAATAGTACAACAATTAATGTATTGCGACCGAGATGCAAGGATTTGCCCATCAAGCTGTAAATGCATACTCTTCTTGCATAGTAATACATATTCGTAGCACCTTCGTACTATAGCTTTTTGATTTGAAGAAGAAAACACTAATGAGTGGTTTTACACTGTCCGTATAAGTAAGTGATAGAGGATCGCATATAATTTTTAATCGAGATTAGCAAATGTATTTCCAATAGCTGTCTAAAAGCTGTCTTCAAATTTGCTGCACCAAATTATCACGCTGAATTTGAGTAGTAAGCTCAATTCGTCAAACGTATTGACCAAATATGCATTCTGCCTTTCCGCTGTTCTTAGACACATAAAGATTGTTAAAATTCTAGCTAAATTAATGCTACTTTGCTGGCTAGATATTTACTTAAATTGTGAAGTCACTATTCGCTAAGTTAAAACTGTATCGATGATAAGACGTAAGAAGAGGGAGAAGACCCTTTTATTTAACTCAAGAAAGGATTTACAGACGGCACTTTTTATGCTTCCAAACGTAGCCAATACTTTTAGCTGAGGCTGAAAATAGAAATATAAAATTAAACTAAGTTAAATAATCAGTCAGAGTTACACATAGATAATTAACGCTATTCGGTTCTTAGGATTACCACCGACGCATACAAACCGGCAATTAAAATGCACGGTTGTAAAACAGCAAGCTTAAATATCAGCGAAACAACGTAGTCGAAAGGTAGAACGTGCTCTGTCTGAAAAAACTCAGACCCATCACCTTAAATAACATCTTTCTACTCTACATTGCATATCACACGAAACTGAAATATCTTTTTAGGAGGTAGTGGAAATGAGAGAAGATAGAAAAGTTAAGTAACTCTAAATAAAACTGGTCATTTCAAAACTAAAATAACATTTATTATAGGATTTTAGAAACTTTATGCTACATTAAATATAGCAACTAAGAATTCGAAAAAATGCGATATTAATGGAATAAATGCAACTATTTTCGTATCAAATACAAAATTAGAAAAGATAATATAATTATTAACATTTTATTTAATTTTATAAATATACTTGCAGTGTTTTATCGGTTTATTAAGAGAAATAACGCAACACTTCCTTCATAAAAATAAGCTTTTAATATTAGAAATTAAACAAGGCGTTCCAAACGCATAAGCTGTAATTTAATGAAATGCCATGTATTACTCGTAAGAGTCATATTCACGTGCAAAATGTTGTTGTGTTGTGCAAACAAGTACAAATCTCAAACATACCACAATATACCGAAGAAAAAGTAAATAAGTTCTTTATAGACATGGTATTTGATATACATAGCATTTCACAGACATGATAATTCTTAGACATATACATTTGATATGCTACATTTTATTAAGAAAAATCTAAATTACAAACAGAAACATTTTTCACATTCTCCAGCTCTGGTTACACTCAAATTATTGCGTCGATCCACAAGGGCCCAAACAAGAGGCCTATAGCTTTTAAGAGGATCCAAAATCATCCCATAATTTTTCAAATTTTTGTATTTTCCCTAACAAAGTGAGGAAAATGTTCGTTGGGAGCCGATAGAGGATGGCTTTATCTTAAGTCCAGAAAGATTGCTGTATTTAGAGCTAGAGGCTGATTGAATCAATCTCCGATTATAGCAGAAAAACAATAACAAGAAAAATAACAGTATCAATGCTACGTATCTGAAAATCCATGCTGTTGCCTGAAAGCTAAAATCTCTATTGCCTAATAGTTTAGTACAATAGTTCTTTTCTATGTTGAATACAGGCTTATAAAACTTGCTTAAAAAGTTCTTTCCATCTACTGTGCAAGCGTTTTTGATGTGGTTCTCAACACATAACACTATGCTGTCAAATCTCCTGAAAGAGAGAGAATATTTCATTTACGTCTATAAACGTAAGTTGGCAATCATGTGGAAATACCTAACTTTTGCATAACATAAAACACAGAACTTTCAGTAACTAAGAAAACAAGCGGGACTAAGTCCTTATCTTACTTCTGTCATCCAAAAATGTTTCTTTTTATTTTTACTTTTAAGGACTTTTAAAGACAGCTCCTGCAGGTACAAGGATCCGTCATTAAAAACAAATAAAAAGTTTCGTAATTTTCTACGCTACCTACATAGTATTTTTTACGAAATTTCTAAGAGTAATTTCAATGTAGTGACGATACTTCAAAATAGCCAAACGATGTTAAATACACTGGTGCCTAAAATGTTAAGTTCTAATGCCCTTTTGGCTAATCTTTGGAACATGGTAACAGGTAGTTTGGCGACATTTTGGTAAGGCGATAAAGGTTACTAGCTAGGACTTCAGATAAAGGTTCGATAAAGGTTACTAGTAGTGTACATGGATAAAGTCAAGAGTGTTCGCAATGCCATTTTTGTGCAATTCTGGGATTTTTTTTTTAGTGAAAATAGGTCGACGTGTACATGGATGATACCGTGTATGTGCAATTCTTGAAAACGCGGCAAGCAGTCGGCGATTCTGCACTTTCTCCCAATTTCGCACCTAATCTTCGTCATGATAAAGCACTTTTGTTCCATAAAAGTTCTAGCATAAGTGTAATTCGGCTAGCAGATTGTTGGAAAAAAATTTTGAGTAAAAAAAAACATGCCTTTACTTCGTGAAAACAAAATGGCGTCCAAACAAACTAGCAGGTTGCTAAAGCAGGGTTGGTCGCCAAATTTTCGCCAAAAATCGCCAAGTTACCATAATCGAAAGATTAACCGCACTTTCTTGTATTTGTACAACTTTTTAAGACGGCGGAGAAGAATATTGAAGAATAGATATAAGAATATGGTAAAAGTTTACAATTCGGTGCCCCTTGTTTTTTGGCGATTCTTTTTTGACGCCAAGATCGGCGCCAGGAAGGCACGAGTTCAAGATGGCCGCTACACAAAACCAAAATAAGAAGACAAAAAATTGCACAAACTTTGTGTCCATATACACATCGATCTGTTTTCACTTTAAAAAAATCCTAGAATTGCACAAACTAGGCATTGTGCACTGTCTTAAATTTGCCCATGTACACATCAATCTATTTTCATTTAAATAAAATCAGGAAGCTAAAACAAAGTTAAAACTATCATGGTAACCAGAAGTGAGGTTTCATCCCAAAATTTCAAAAAACTTTTCGCTAATCGAAGGGGCACCCAATTCTACACTAGAGCCAAGAATATTGCCAACACATTAAAACATGACAAACCGAATTAAAAAAATTAGACATCTGTATTATTCATTGCTTGCAACTGTTTCATATGGTGCATGTATCAGATTATAATACGGTGCATGTGAGGTAATATGATTATAACATTTTATTATTTTTAAAAGAGCGTGAAGAGTTTGTTTTATTACCTTTGACAGTTTCAAACCTTTATAACAGATGCAGTTTTGGGCATTAAAAATTTTAATTCCTATGAAAAGAATATACCATTAAGTACTACTATAAAATTAAGAAAATCATCTTTTAAAACAAAATATATGGTATGGAATGGAGGAATGGAAGGTAAAATTTTTGCAAGTAATTCTTTGGCTAAAATTCTATAAGCGGGGTAAGTTGGCGCCAAACTATTTTGGCCTTCAAAATTTGGGAAATTTTTTAGGCGCACTAAATGAAAGCACTAAAATGTGGTTTTTAAACGTGAACAGAATAGTAACTTTTAAGTTTTGCAGTAGTGAAGCGCCGTTATTTTATGTAAACAGAATAGTAAAATGAGATGATAAAATACTAGATGAGTAAAACAAAGTCCAACAGCTTTGAAAGTAAAAGCATAGTCCTATACATATGTAATTCATCATAAAATAGTAGAATAAACAATTCTTGTAAATAATTATTAAGTAAATAAATGTATACACTTATCAGATCAGAGCACTACGAAGTCAGTTTTAAACGTAAACAGAACAGCAAATTACGCGTATTCAGCATCATAAACTAACTAAAATATTCAAGTTACTATCGTTGTGGAATTCAACACACTAAACAACTTTCGTTCAAAGCTTTAAGTATTCCACATCTTTCGATTGCCATATGCAAGAAACAAAACTAAAAAAAATTAACTAAATAAAATTAAATGAAAACATTCCTAAATTATAAACTTCATATAAAATCCAACATTCTCCCACCAACAACAGCTTAACCTTCTGCAAATATTTATATAAATATAATATTAAACATATATATAACAATAATATTAAACGGTAAAAACTTTTAAAAACAAACACAGTATTTCAAAATTAAATTTAAAAAAAAAAATCTCGCTACACTAAATTCGCGCTCTTACAGTTACGGAAATAAAGCTCTAGGTTTGCCACAAGAAAACATACAGCCGGAAACCACAAAAAATAAAAATCGCGCCAAATAAAAAAACTCTCGCTAAGCTTGGCGCTCACCCCGATTATGGAATTTTAACCAATTCTTTGAAGCAATGAGATAAACAAACAAATAAATAAAATCAATTTTAACAAAATCTGTACAAAAGAAAGTAAATTAGAGTGATGTAATGACATCATGACCTTGAAATAGAAGAATCGATACCTCGCCTTCTGTTTCATATTATAGTTAATTTTTTTATATGTATAAAACCGACCAATTAATATCGTCTTATCACTCTTGTTATAAAAGAGGGCTAAGAGTTGGCATTATAGCATATAAAAATTTCAATACTTTGTAATCGAAATTGTAAATTTGCTTCACTACAATGTATTGTTATTCACAAACAGTGGGTATACAAAATTTAAAGTCAATAGATTACTGGGAAATATTCAAAAAATCGATGACTTTTGATCATAGAGACAAGCACTATTAACGAACAAAATTAGGGCTTATACAAAGTTTTAAATTGAATTACAAAAAACAGAAAGTTTTTTTTTTTTTTTTTTTTTTTTTTTTTTTAATTTAAAGAAAAAGAAATCCTAGTGCACCACAAAGTATCATACGAGACTTACAAATCGTAAGTCTAATCCTAAGTAAAAAAAGGAAAATCGTAATAATATCAATTTTCAATAATACAATGAAATTAAACACAAAAAAAGTAAATACAAAAATATATAAATGCATAAAGAAATCATTTACAAAGTTTAAAATAAAAAAATGCAGATAGCTTCTTTCGTAGAAAAGAAGGTGAGAATTTTAAAATGAGTGTAATTTAATAAAACGTATATTCATATAAAAATTCATTTTTCTTTTTCTAAAAAGGAAAATTCTTGTCATTTTTCTTTACTCGAAGTATTATTGCATAAAAATTTAAAGTTGAAATGCCTCTTGAAATTTTGAAAGAATATTTTTATACAGGTGAGAAAATTGAATAATATACTCAATAATGACTATTGATACTGATACGCATTGTGTATACTCATTTATACATATGTGTGTGAGTATATATATATATATATAAATGTATATATAGAGAGAGAGACTTCTAAGATAATCCTGAGAGCACCCTTTTTCTTGCAGAAATTCATTATAATCACTCTCAGATTTGAGAAATATTGACACTTTAATTTGTTTTTGAAGTTACTGTAACTGTCGTATTTGCACTTTTTGTAGTATTTTTTTACAGTTTTCATACAAAAATGCTACTTTTTCAATTTACCTGCACACTTCAATTGTACTATATATCATCTTCTCTGGGTCTAGGCCTGCATCTTTCACCAGATCCAAATTGGTTTGTTGGCATTCATTAGAAGCAATACTGCCCTCTTTAAAGCAAGCCTTGAACTCAGTGAACTCTGCAAATGGAATAAAAAAAGTTAATTGCCTTCAAAGAATAAGAATGTTTAACTGAATCTGCATATCAGCTGTATTTCTCAGTAGAATGTAAAAGTCCTTTTGCTATGATTTTCTAAACGCTTCAAGGATTTATTTTAGTGTTTCCAGTAAGCGGATTTCATACCCTGGTTAAATAAAAAGTATTGCCATTTCAGGGAAATAGTTATTGCAAGTCCCATGAAGAAGCGATTCAGTGGAATAAGTGCAAAGCTACATCGTGAAGTTTTTTTTTTAATTAAATGAGTATCAAAATCCCCATATGGCATTAATTATATCTATCTATTAAAATCTATGTGCGTTTGTCTGTCTGTTTGTTTGTTTGTGGCTTCATCTCCTTTGGAACGGCGGGGAGTCACGAAAGATGTACCTTCTCGGATTCCAAAAATTCGTGGGAAGCCATTTCGACTATTTTCAGCTTCGTATGACTTTAATCAGCCTAGATATTAATTAAAAACTCTGAAAATGTTAGTTTTTGCCCTTATTTTTTAGAGTGGCAACAGTTTCGCAAATTGGAGATAAAAAATCTGCTTTATTTTGAAAAGTGTTGCCACTGCTTGCTTTCAAAACGTAGAGTTTGTTAATAAAAATTGGTCAGTTTTACAAAATATGAAATAAAAATAACATTGCAAAACATTAAATACATTATTATTATAAAGGTCATATTCTGACATGGAAGAAAGCACGAGATTGCATGCGTCGCCCTTGTATGTCGAAAATGTTTCATGAACGTCACTAATTTAAATAAATAGTTGCTGTTGGTAGTTTTTATGTTTCAGCTTAAGACAATTAACAAAGTATGCTATTACTACTTTAAATCTTTTATTGATTTTGAGAAAAAGTTGTTATATTACATTAAATTTAAATCATTACCTCATGCGTATACATATTAACCTGAAGTGTCCAAAGTTTTCGTTTCCTGGTTTGGCAACAAAAAAATTGCTTAAGAATTGGTTGTTGCTTGGAAAGAATGAACTGATGTGATTTATATTTAAATTTTTTTTACGCACTTTCTTTTCAGGTATATATAGAACACATAAATTGTGTGTGACGACTGCCTACTACAACTCAACGCTGCCAGTCTGGTAACTCATAGCAACGAAAAACAAAATAATGTTTATTCTATTACTAACGATTTGTTTTTGTTATCATAGTTGCTTATCTAGCTACGCTTTATTTATTATTGTTCAAAATGGCTTATTATACAAATTAAATTATTTTTATTATTATTATATTAAAAGCAGCTTGTAATTATCTGTCTCAAAAATTGTACTGCCATATAGTGCTTTGGTCACAACTTTATATCTAGTACATTAAATTAATAGTTTCACATGAAACATTTTATTACAGTTTTTCATTGATGACTCTAGAGCCTTTTTGTGGTATTTTCTCTTGTTAAGACAACGGCATGTAATGTAATCTTGTTTCCTCTGATATAAGCCGTAGTGGGATGTATAGATTCGTTTGTTGATCCCATGTCTATTCCGGCATTAGTTTGGAAACTCCACAAATCTAAACTTTTGGATTACTATTTCAGTACTTATTAAAAATAAAATAACATCTGCTGAAAAGCATTAACATGTGCGATGATTTCATTACTTCAGACACTCATTACTCAGATCTCAGGCAACGCCATCTCTTTTCCCAGTTTAAAATTTGTCAACGTTCTGTTTTCAAATACCACATTAATTGAGACCATAAGCTTGTAAATTACTTGAAAAACTATTCCTAGATAAATATTTTAAAGAATATTGCATGTTGTAAATTCTTTCATTTTCACCGTGGCGATTACAGTGATGTCATACGATAAAATGTACATTCATAATATTTTTGGTACGAATGAGTTCGTAATGGATTGAAAGCACACAGAGCCGATGACAGCTTGATAAAATTTAATTTACCAAAAGAAACACTTTACCGTTCTAGAACTCTCCACAGAAGTATTCGTACAGCTCTTCGCAGAATCACAGAACATAATCAGTAGTTATACTTCAAACTACTAAGAAGGTTAAGCAGAACGCAATGCAATGCAAAGCGCATCTAAAGAGCGAAGCCCACACGGAGATACCTCAACACTGCGACGTTGGCTCTGAACTGAAAAACTGAGAATAGATACCAAAGAATCTCTAAGGAGAAGAAGTAAAGGTTTCCCGAAGCAAATGTGGCTCCCTCAGACTGAAGAGACGCTCTGTGTATGTCCCTGAAGCTTATTTTAAAGGGGCAATCCATCCACCCTCCGTACCTTTCTGCGCATGTGCGAAATAGCAGGCAAGATCGTCAGCCATATTAGAAATCTTTTACCGCGTTGTTCGAAGAGGTTCTTTGTGAAAGTTTTTTTCAGTTCTTTTATCTAGCTATTTAAGCAGATCATCAGATGGATGTTTCGCAAGACGATCACCGGAATTCACCCGATTCTCTTTCTGTGAGGTAAGCTTGCTTTTTTAATTCGAAAACCTATCATAGATTTTAAAAATTGATTTGTATAGTACATTAAATTTTATTTCCAAGCTCCAAAAATATTTTTGTCTCATTGTATAACACAACAGCTAGATTTTCATTCTTAATATATTAACTTTGGCATTTTAGCATATGAATCTCAATTTATATAATTAATCATATGGCAAACAAATACTTATAGCTTGTGCAGGCATATTGATATTTCTTTCCAAATTTTTTAAATGAGTTTTAAGCTTTAAAGTCAACTAATAATAATATTACGACAAAACGAGCGATCAGGAATAAATTTGCCATTTATAATAATGCGGCAGCTAATGGCATGTATGATTGCATAAATTAATTTTATTAATAAATTGTATTATGCTCCAGCTTTAAATTTATGCTATAGATTACCAAATAGTTTATCTGAGAAATTTATAAACTTATTTAATATTAGTGGCCACTGAAGATATTACAGTATTATTTTTAATTTAGTATATTGATAGTTATATACAATTTTTCACATTTTATGATTATTTTTTGAAAAATTTATGTTCATTCATTATAAAAATATAATTTTTGATTTCTCTCAATATTTGATGTGGTGTGGTGAATAACAGACTTAACTCGGTCTATCTATCTTTTACTTAAGCAAACGACCCAAATCCTGGTATCGCTGTTGTGTTTGTGGGACAACGTCGTCGAAAAACACCAGAGAGGAAATTCTTCAGATTTCCTAAGGATCCTATTAGGTAAATCATTTTTAAGTTTAAAAGAAACTAAGCTTGTGATTATTAATATATATATATCTCAATTTTCGATAGAGAAGCAAATATTTCATGTATATGGAATAATTTAAATAAATAGCTTGTTTTTTTCCATTAAGTTAGGATCTCCTTAGAGATTCTTTGATAGATACTCTTTCCGGTATAACATTGATCTTACGCGGCCGTGAGAAATCTCTGGTACCTTCCATTTCTCTCAAATTACTGGAAGGCATGTGCGGTTAATATTGCATCTAAGCGCCGGATACGGTTACAGTTACATGTAAAGATCAGTTACAGTTATTCAATTACAGAATCAATTAGCTATACAGGGACCGGATCGAAATGTTACCGAATGGTCCCCAAATTTGGCGACTTGCTAAATTTGGCGAGCATTTGACCAATTAAAATTAGTCGTCAAAACCGCCGCCAGCTTGGCGATGTCTATTTAGCGAGATTGTAAGGATCTTAAGTTTTACTAACGTTTATTTTATTTTAAATCTTTACTATCACTTCTTATTTTCTACTTCCGGCCAGAATTGAAAGCTTTAACTTATTTATGCAAATTTGTCTGGCGAACGCCAAGTACTTCAGTTGTGGCTTTTTGCCAAACAAGAAGAGGAAGAAGTTAGTAGAAGAAGGCCGCGTGCCTTAGCAGTTTTTACTCGGTTGCTGGTTGCCTTCCAGGCCAGAGGTTTAATCCTCTTAATAATTTTTAACGTATTGTAGTGTTAACAGTTCTCTGTACTACATACGGCTTCCTGTTAATATACGGCCAATCTTCCACGTAGGCCCTTGTTTATTATTCCAAAGTTAAGTTAGAGATTAGTTAATATTTTTATATTCTTACGTTCAGACCACAAGTGGTTGGTCTCTGTATTCCGAAGTTCGGAAATTATTGTAAAGAGTGAAAAATAAAGGGTTTCATATACCCTTCCTGTGTATCTTGTCTACTTCCCACATTTATTGAACATAGTTTTAGTAAGCTCCCTGTTCCGAGTCAGGTCTTTGCATGTTCCCAAAGCAAGAAAGGAGAAACACTGAACCTGATAGTGGCGCCCGACGAAGAAGAATAACCATGGCCGAGTTTCAAGAAGAACCTGTGCTGCCTGCAAAAGCGGCTCAGAATCCAGAAATGCCAGCTGCCGCCCTGGAAGGATTTGGTTACTCGTCCAGACCATGCGCGCAGCGATGAAACCAGAAGCAACTTTTAATGGAAACTCGCCGGTAACCAGTTTTTTGGAAAAACTAGATGACCACTTCATGATGTACCCCGTGCACGAGTTCCAGAAAGTTACCTTAGCTACTAGCGCTTTGAGGGCCCAAGCGCTTAATTGGTTCAAATGTATAGGCAGAAGTCTCTTGGGTCAAGCAGGAAGTCCCACCTATACTTACAAAAATTTCAAGACTGCCCTAGTAAAAGCCTTCCCTGTCGTAAGGGATCGTGCGAAATTAGAAGCGGAACTTTTCAGCATATATCAGAAAATAATCGAAAATCTTTCCACCTTTATTTTAAGGAAAAATTCACTTCTTCAAACTCCTGTATGGAAACCGTCCGGATCCTGAGATAATTCAAGTGATTTTGCCGAGGTTACTTCCCCAAGTACAAGACTTTATTGAATTAAGGAATCCGACTACACTGGAAAAGTTATTTGAGCTAGCAATCCAGTTTGAAAGTAGAAGAATGGCGGACATTGAAAGAAGACGCCAATATCAACAACGAAACCAGTTTGGTGACCAAGACCACAGCAAAGTCAAGCACA